TCTCTCTCTCTCTCTCTCCTGCTTTATTTCCCCTCTCTTTCCTACATACAAATAATATGCTCTTGTTCTCCTTTTCACCCACCCCTCTGCTTCAGCCTGTTCGTTCTTTCGTTCTACTTGCACACTCTTCACAACTATAAACTTTTTTCACCTCTCACTACTAGTACTCTAATTGTAGAAATAATCAAAGTAGATAACGTAGAATCGTTTTTTAACACAACTTTTAGACATGATCTGAGTATTTTGGCACCTTCCATCATATACATGTACATTTAGCATCAGTAAGGAAGTATATTGGAAAATTTCTAATCAAATCTCACCGCGCAATATAAATAGAATTCGATCATGATATCTCATGATCGTCAATACTAATTGCAACAAAAATATTATTCTGGAGGGTCCAGTGAAAATTGTTTTAAACTTCCTCATCTCTCTTATCTCGACTGAATAACGACATAAGTAATATAAAAACAGTGAAGTGTTCGAAGTGGGGAAGTATGCCCCCCCCAATCCCGTGTTACCTCGTGATAACAAAACATTGATGATGCTGTGGAAATAGAACATACATGAAGCCATAAAGAATGAAGGTAATTTTAAAACAAGAAAAACAATATTTTATCTAAAAATAGCACGTTATCCTTGGGAAAGGCTACACAATCGAACACTTTTCAGATGAAAAGTAATGCCAGACACACAATCAATGTTTGAAGTTGTCTGGGTGGTAAAACTTTCCAAAATTGAAATACTGTACTTCTATTACGTGACCAAAACTATAAAAAGAAACTGAATTTGGTCAGACAGATTATAGGTAAGGCGAAGAGAGACGCACGGAGACTCATAACGTCAGTGACATAATGATAATTGGAGAAAACATGAACTGCAGAATGTGCAACACTGGTTGACATTATGTCAAGCTCGTGACAAAATTCTTAAATCTGGAGGAAAAATATGACAGTGATTTTAATTATAGAACATGGGCTCAGGAATAGAACAAGGTTCAGAAATATCTACATAAATGCATAATGAGTTGAAGCCCCTCCTATCTACCACCCCCA